TTGTCAATGCAGATTAACTCTACTTTCAACTTCGAGTTTTTGGACCTCAGCAACGCTGTGGCCGGGTCATTGCTCCCCCCTTGCAGCCGGTGTGATTTCTGTGGTTTTTCTCCAGCAAAGTCCCAGGGACTCACCGTCCTATGGGGCCCCGGCTGCCTGCTGGTTCAGGGAGCCCAGTGGTTTCCTTTCCACCCTGCATGGATCCTTTTCCTGTGTCCACGCCTGGCTGCTTTCTGCCATCTGCACAGTGAGTTCAGTGTACGGTTTGCTAATAGAGCCTGTTACGACGTTCTTACCCACTGAGTGTTCCACGCACTGTGTCCCTTTCTTTGTATTTCATTGGGTGCGTGGATTTTGTACTGGGGACATTGCAAGTGCTGATGAACTCCATTTTCAATTACGAGATTTTGGACCTCAGCAACGCTGGGGGCTTTGCTGTCGCTAGCCCCGTTGCAGCCTGTACCACATGTGGGGGCTCCTCCAGCAATGTCCCTAGGGGCTCAGAGCCCTAGAGGGGTGCAGGTGGGTGATGATTTCAGGAACAACTTTGTTTCCTTGCCTCCTGCCCAGCTTGCCACCTCCAACGCAAACCATGTCGTCTGACAAAGTCACAGCATGGGGACTACGACTTCACAGAAGCATGTTCCAGCCAGGTGGATGTGGCATAAGTGGATATATGGTGTTTATTCTGTTCTTGCTGTCTCTTGGTATTCTGACATTTACTTCTCTGATAATGTGGAATCTCCTAGAAATGATGGCCATTCTCAGAGCTGATCAACAACTAGGTCAGACTGAGAAAAATGCCACCTTGGCCTTTCCCCAAAATAATACCCTCTCTGAGGGCCCAGAAGAGGAAAGACCCACAACGTCCAGTGAGTCCAAGGGGAAGAATATTTCCTTCCCTAACCCAGTTAAGCAGATGCAGAACGAGTTAATATCAGGTAGCAGGGAGCCAGAATTACCCAGAGCACTCCCCCAAGTTAATCCCCTCTAATGAAATAGCCCCTGAATATCTAAAAGTTATTGGAGTAATAGCCCCTCCTTTACCTTGAACAGGAATATATATTAATTAGAATTTAGTAGGCAAAGAAACAGGAGAAGCTTGTTAGATACTATAAACTAAGCACGTAGATACAATTACCAAGGAGTTAGAGTCCATAGTACATAGAGAAACGTTTTGGACAGAAAGATAGATAGCTAAGTTAGACATCGCAAAGGCCTTATGATAAATTTCCTAACCTCTGCTCGGTCTAGCGTACCTTTTGCCCCATGCCAAATTCTAGACCTTTAATAAACAATAAGACATTCAAACTCTGTACATAGAGCTATTTCAAATAGTCTGATTAATGGTTCTCCTGGTCAAAACAATTTTTGTTTAATATAACTGAAACTATGGAAATTCTTGTACTTTGCCTGGTTACCTCTGTATTGATTTTTTCTGATTAACTAATCATGCTATACACCAGCAAATGTTAATCACTACCTAAAATGAAAATGTAAAAATCTGCTTGTACTTGCAATAAACGGAACAGAGCTTCACTGTCCTTTGAGGCGTGTTGTCATCCGTTACCCATCGCCCACGCCTTACCCACCTTTGGGAATCCCTGGCCTTTGCTGCGGCTGGACCGTGGCACTGGCTAACTGCTGTCACCCCTGCTGCAGGGACACTTTTCTGTCCGTTTTGCTAACAGTTCCACCCATATAGGTCTGACATGTAGGTTGTTCCATTTCTTTTTTCGTATTTCCTTTGGTATACGGATGTTTTCTCCGAGACATTGTTAGTACGGATTACCAGCATTTTCAATTGTGAGATCTCGGACCAGCAATGTCGTCGCTAGCCCTGTTGCAGCCTGTACCATATGTGGGGGCTCCTCCAGCAATGTCCCTAGGGGCTCAGATGCCTAGAGGGGTGTGCCTGGACTGTAATTTCAGGGAAAACCTTGCTTCTCAGCCACCTGCACAGTTAACTCCTGTCCTTATGCTGAAGGGAGATTTCTCTCTACGTTTTGCGTGTAGTTCCTGCCATATAGCTGTGAAGGGTAGGTTGCTCCATGCACTGTGCTCCTTTTTTGTATTTCATTTGCTGTATGGAATTTTTCTCCAAGATGTGGTCAGTACCAATTACCTGTGTTTACAATTACGAGATTTTGGGCCACACTGACGCTGTGACCTGGGCCATTGCTCCCCCCCCTGCAGCCGGTGTGATTTCTCTGGTTTCTCTCCAGAAAAGTCCCCAGGGACTCACCGTCCTATGGGGTCCAGGCTGCCTGCTGGTTCAGGGAGCCCAGTGGTTTCCTTTCCACCCTGCATGGACCCTTTTCCTGTGTCCATGCCTGGCTGCTTTCTGCCATCTGCACAGTGAGTTCGGTGTACGGATTGCTAATAGATCCTGCTACTACGGTCTTACCCACTGAGTGTTCCGGGCAAAATGGTCCTCTTTTCGTATTTTATTTGGCGTACGAATTTTTGAACTGCAACATTGTTAGTGCACATTTACTACTTTTTCGATTCTGGGATTTTGGAGCCCAGCAATGCTGTGTGCTGGGCCACTGCACTGTGCTCTTTTTTCATATTTAATTGGGTGTACGAATTTATTGCCTGCTGTGTTTTGAGTGCATTCACTCCATTTTCAATTCCGAGATTTTGGAGCACACCAACACTGTTGGCTGTGCCTCGCTCACGCCATTGCAGCGCCTATGGTTTCTCCAGTTTCTCTCCAGCAATGTCCTGAGGCAAGAAACATTAGAGTCGATGCCTGGCCGCTGATTTCAGGGAGGAACCTGGGTTCATCCTCTCCCTGCAGTCTAAGTGGTCTCTCTCCCTGCCCCATGGTTTCCCCTACATGTGCTTTGCTACTGGGTCTCCCTACCTGTCCTGTCCTAATGACCGCTCCTTGTTCGGCCCCATCGATCCATTTTTCTTTCTGTGAGTTCCTTAGCTGTGGCTAATTCCCTTTTAGAAAGAGCGGGCTCCTTTTTTTTTTTTTTTTTTTTTTAATCTCAAGCCTGCATCCGCCTACCACCTAGGAGAGCATAAATATACAAGCTGCAGGCTTTCTCTACTGCATCAGCTCAGAGGCTTGTCGTACTCCTGGTACGAAGTCTCGATCTTAGAGCGGGTTCACTCCGTTTTCAACTACACTCCCTTTTCCTTATTTCCTTGGGGGAGCAGAGCTTTTGACAGGGCCGTTCCTATTGCCTCAGGTTCCCAGTACCTTTGATAGCGCCTTCCTTACGTCTTTGACTGACAGGTACCTTGTACAGCGCGGATGGTATAGCATTTGGCGAGCGCTGCTTTTAACAGCGTCGTCCGTAGGTCCCTTGGGACCTGGAATTTTTACAGCGCCCTTCGAATTTCCTTTGGTGAGCGACCGGCGTTTTTTATATAGTGCGGTCCGCATAGCATTTCGTGAACTGTGCTTTGTACAGTGCCGTCCGTTTTGCACTTGGTGACCGCTGCTTGTAACGTCGCCGTCCGTATGTCCTTAGGTGACCGGGAATTTTTACAGCGCCGTTGGTATTTTCATTGGCGACCCACGTTTTTTTATACTGTGGTCCGTATTGCATTTGGTGACCGCTACTTGTAACAGCGACTCAGCTATACTGACTTAACAGCGCCTTCGGTGTAGCATTTGATTACCGCCGGTTTTACAGCCGTCCTTTCCTTTTCGGATTTTACAGCGCCATCGGTTCTTTGACCGGACCGGGCCCCCCCCAAGCATCCGACATCACTTCTTCTTCCTTCATACCCACTTTTACAGCATTGTCGGTTAGGCTTTGGGGACCGCTGCTTTTCACAGCGCTGTCCCTATGTCCTTTGGTGACCGGGGATTTTTACAGCGCCGTCGGATTTTCCCTTTTTGACCGGGGATTTTTACAGCGCCATTGGTATTGTCTTTGGCGACCCGCGTTTTTTTATACTGCGGTCCGTATTGCAAGTGGTAACGGCTGCTTGTAAGAGCGCCGTCCGTACGTCCTTAGGTGACCGGGGATTTTTACAGCGCCATTCGTATTTCCTTTGGTGAACTGTGTTTTTTATAACGCGGTCCGCATTGCACTTGGGGAACGGTGCTCTTTACAGCGCCGTCGGTATAGCATTTGGTGAACTGCTGCTTTTAACTGCGCTGTCCCTATGTCCTCTGGTGACCAGGGATTTATTTTTACAGTGCGGTCGGTATTTTCTTTGAGGACCGGACCGGGCATTCTAAAACACCGTCTGCGTTGCCTTCGGTGCTCAGAGCTTTTGGCAGTGCCATCTGCGTTTTGTTTGGTGGCCTGTGGTTTTTACACCAGTGTCTGTCTTGCCTTTGGTGACCCGTCTTTTTACAGTGTCGTTGGTATAGCATTTGGGGACCGCTGCTTTTAACTGTGCCGTCTCTAAGCCCTTTGGTGACAGGGGATTTTCAAGGCTCCGTCCATGTATCCTTAGGTGACCGGGAATTTTTACGGCGCCATTCGGATTTCTTTTGGCGATTGGTGGTGTTTATAGTGCGGTCCGTATCGCAGTGGGTGAAGGGTTCTTTTCCTATCGCCGCCGTCGATTATTTCTCCAGTTTCTCTCCAGCAATGTCTCGTTCTGAGGGCAGCCCTGGAGTCCGTGCCCGGGCTCCGATTTCAGGGAGAAACGTGGGTTGGTCCTCTCCCTGCAGCCTCCGTGGTCTCTCTCTCCGCACCACACGTTCCTCCTCCGTGGTCGTTGCTACTGGCTGTCCCTCCGCGTCCTGTCCTAACGACCGCTCCTTGTTCTGTCCCCATTGTTCCGTATTTCTTTCGGTTCTACACATCAACTTGAGTTTCTTAGCTGTGGGTAAGTCCGGTTTAAAAAACACGGGTTTCTTTCCTTTTTTTTTTTTTTTTTTTTGATGTCCGCCTTGCATCCGCCTTGCATCCGCTCACCAGCCAGGAGAGCATAAATATCGAGGCTGCGGACAACGCCGCAGGCTTCGTCTCCTGCATCAGCTCAGACGCTGGTTGTCCTCGTGGTCCGAAGTCTCGGCCGAGATGGAGCAGCACTTTCTCGACGTCGGGAAGTCGGCTTGGGACGCCGCTGACGGGGCGCCGCAGCCCCAGCCTCCGTGCTTGCCGGTCTCCGAAGACCGGGGGCCGTGGCCGCTGCCCTTCTACCCGGTACTGGGAGAGTCCGCGGGCCACTACGACGCTTACCAGGGGCGACTGCTCTTCAGTCCTTGTTGGCAGCTGCCCTCGGTCTACGGCACGTACAAGGACTTGACCGCGGCCCAGAGCTCCTGGGAGGGAAGCCCAGGGCAGCCCGGTCTGGGTCCCTCGCCAGAGACGCCAGAGACGCCGGAGACGCCGGAGACGCCGGAGACGCCGGAGACGCCGGAGACGCCCGAGTCGCCAGAGAGCCCAGCGGAACCCTCCCGAGAGCCTGTGCCCGCGAAGGAAACTGCCTTGGAGCTGCTTTCCGAGACCCTGTGTCCCAGCGCCAGAGACCAAGTGCAAGGCGCCCAGAGCTGCGAAGGCGCGCGCCCCGCAGAGCGCCGCCCACCGCGGGCTCGGGTTGGACGGTGTGGTCGCGCGGACTTGTCGGGCTGCCTGCGGTGGATCCGTCGCGCCGTCTGCTCCCTGAGCCGCGCGGCTGCGGGCTGCTGCGGGATCTTCGTGGACGTTAAAGAGCCCCGAGACTGCGGCGGGAGGGAGCCCTGGGTTGGGGGGCGCCCGGGGTGAAAAGATCTCGGTTTCCAATAAAACTGCATGACCTTCCTTCGGTGTCCCGTGTCAGTTAGCGCCCCTTTCCCTCTGCAGCCCTGGTCGCTGCCCTTTCCTCCTTCCCTCCTGCCTCTGCACTTCTTGCTTTTACTTGTCATTTTTCACTTCCACCGTTTCTTACCGGCTTTCAGTGGCCGGCAGTTCCTTGCGCTAAATCACAGTGCTGTGCACAAATTTTTAATCCTGGACGTGATTCGTCACAGAAACGGCCTTAGAGCGGGTTCACTCCGTTTTCAACTACACTCCCTTTTCCTTATTTCCTTGGGGGAGCAGAGCTTTTGACAGGGCCGTTCCTATTGCCTCAGGTTCCCAGTACCTTTGATAGCGCCTTCCTTACGTCTTTGACTGACAGGTACCTTGTACAGCGCGGATGGTATAGCATTTGGCGAGCGCTGCTTTTAACAGCGTCGTCCGTAGGTCCCTTGGGACCTGGAATTTTTACAGCGCCCTTCGAATTTCCTTTGGTGACCGACCGGCGTTTTTTATATAGTGCGGTCCGCATAGCATTTCGTGAACTGTGCTTTGTACAGTGCCGTCCGTTTTGCACTCGGTGACCGCTGCTTGTAACGTCGCCGTCTGTATGTCCTTAGGTGACCGGGAATTTTTACAGCCCCGTTGGTATTTTCATTGGCGACCCACGTTTTTTTATACTGTGGTCCGTATTGCATTTGGTGACCGCTGCTTGTAACAGCGACCTCTATCATTTTCTCCTGTAACAGCGCCTTCGGTGTAGCATTTGATTACCGCCGGTTTTACAGCGCCTTTCCAGCGCCATCGTCTTTGACCAACTATCACATCACTGTCTTCTCTTCAGCGACCCGACTTTTTACAGCATTGTCGGTATAGGCTTTGGGGACCGCTGCTTTTCACAGCGCTGTCCCTATGTCCTTTGGTGACCGGGGATTTTTACAGCGCCGTCGGATTTTCCCTTTTTGACCGGGGATTTTTACAGCGCCATTGGTATTGTCTTTGGCGACCCGCGTTTTTTTATACTGCGGTCCGTATTGCAAGTGGTAACGGCTGCTTGTGAGAGCGCGGTCCGTACGTCCTTAGGTGACCGGGGATTTTTACAGCGCCATTCGTATTTCCTTTGGTGAACTGTGTTTTTTATAACGCGGTCCGCATTGCACTTGGGGAACGGTGCTCTTTACAGCGCCGTCGGTATAGCATTTGGTGAACTGCTGCTTTTAACTGCGCTGTCCCTATGTCCTCTGGTGACCAGGGATTTATTTTTACAGTGCCGTCGGTATTTTCTTTGAGGACCGGACCGGGCATTCTAAAACACCGTCTGCGTTGCCTTCGGTGCTCAGAGCTTTTGGCAGTGCCATCTGCGTTTTGTTTGGTGGCCTGTGGTTTTTACACCAGTGTCTGTCTTGCCTTTGGTGACCCGTCTTTTTACAGTGTCGTTGGTATAGCATTTGGGGACCGCTGCTTTTAACTGTGCCGTCTCTAAGCCCTTTGGTGACAGGGGATTTTCAAGGCTCCGTCCATATATCCTTAGGTGACCGGGAATTTTTACGGCGCCATTCGGATTTCTTTTGGCGATTGGTGGTGTTTATAGTGCGGTCCGTATCGCAGTGGGTGAAGGGTTCTTTTCCTATCGCCGCCGTCGATTATTTCTCCAGTTTCTCTCCAGCAATGTCTCGTTCTGAGGGCAGCCCTGGAGTCCGTGCCCGGGCTCCGATTTCAGGGAGAAACGTGGGTTGGTCCTCTCCCTGCAGCCTCCGTGGTCTCTCTCTCCGCACCACACGTTCCTCCTCCGTGGTCGTTGCTACTGGCTGTCCCTCCGCGTCCTGTCCTAACGACCGCTCCTTGTTCTGTCCCCATTGTTCCGTATTTCTTTCGGTTCTACACATCAACTTGAGTTTCTTAGCTGTGGGTAAGTCCGGTTTAAAAAACACGGGTTTCTTTCCTTCCTTCCTTTTTTTTTTTTTTTGATGTCCGCCTTGCATCCGCCTTGCATCCGCTCACCAGCCAGGAGAGCATAAATATCGAGGCTGCGGACAACGCCGCAGGCTTCGTCTCCTGCATCAGCTCAGACGCTGGTTGTCCTCGTGGTCCGAAGTCTCGGCCGAGATGGAGCAGCACTTTCTCGACGTCGGGAAGTCGGCTTGGGACGCCGCTGACGGGGCGCCGCAGCCCCAGCCTCCGTGCTTGCCGGTCTCCGAAGACCGGGGGCCGTGGCCGCTGCCCTTCTACCCGGTACTGGGAGAGTCCGCGGGCGACTACGACGCTTACCAGGGGCGACTGCTCTTCAGTCCTTGTTGGCAGCTGCCCTCGGTCTACGGCACGTACAAGGACTTGACCGCGGCCCAGAGCTCCTGGGAGGGAAGCCCAGGGCAGCCGGGTCTGGGTCCCTCGCCAGAGACGCCAGAGACGCCGGAGACGCCGGAGACGCCGGAGACGCCGGAGACGCCCGAGTCGCCAGAGAGCCCAGCGGAACCCTCCCGAGAGCCTGTGCCCGCGAAGGAAACTGCCTTGGAGCTGCTTTCCGAGACCCTGTGTCCCAGCGCCAGAGACCAAGTGCAAGGCGCCCAGAGCTGCGAAGGCGCGCGCCCCGCAGAGCGCCGCCCACCGCGGGCTCGGGTTGGACGGTGTGGTCGCGCGGACTTGTCGGGCTGCCTGCGGTGGATCCGTCGCGCCGTCTGCTCCCTGAGCCGCGCGGCTGCGGGCTGCTGCGGGATCTTCGTGGACGTTAAAGAGCCCCGAGACTGCGGCGGGAGGGAGCCCTGGGTTGGGGGGCGCCCGGGGTGAAAAGATCTCGGTTTCCAATAAAACTGCATGACCTTCCTTCGGTGTCCCGTGTCAGTTAGCGCCCCTTTCCCTCTGCAGCCCTGGTCGCTGCCCTTTCCTCCTTCCCTCCTGCCTCTGCACTTCTTGCTTTTACTTGTCATTTTTCACTTCCACCGTTTCTTACCGGCTTTCAGTGGCCGGCAGTTCCTTGCGCTAAATCACAGTGCTGTGCACAAATTTTTAATCCTGGACGTGATTCGTCACAGAAACGGCCTTAGAGCGGGTTCACTCCGTTTTCAACTACACTCCCTTTTCCTTATTTCCTTGGGGGAGCAGAGCTTTTGACAGGGCCGTTCCTATTGCCTCAGGTTCCCAGTACCTTTGATAGCGCCTTCCTTACGTCTTTGACTGACAGGTACCTTGTACAGCGCGGATGGTATAGCATTTGGTGAGCGCTGCTTTTAACAGCGTCGTCCGTAGGTCCCTTGGGACCTGGAATTTTTACAGCGCCCTTCGAATTTCCTTTGGTGACCGACCGGCGTTTTTTATATAGTGCGGTCCGCATAGCATTTCGTGAACTGTGCTTTGTACAGTGCCGTCCGTTTTGCACTTGGTGACCGCTGCTTGTAACGTCGCCGTCTGTATGTCCTTAGGTGACCGGGAATTTTTACAGCCCCGTTGGTATTTTCATTGGCGACCCACGTTTTTTTATACTGTGGTCCGTATTGCATTTGGTGACCGCTGCTTGTAACAGTGCCTTCGGTGTAGCATTTGATTACCGCCGGTTTTAACAGCGCTGTCCCTATGTCCTTTGGTGACCGGGGATTTTTACAGCGCCGTCGGATTTTCCCTTTTTGACCGGGGATTTTTACAGCGCCATTGGTATTGTCTTTGGCGACCCGCGTTTTTTTATACTGCGGTCCGTATTGCAAGTGGTAACGGCTGCTTGTAAGAGCGCCGTCCGTACGTCCTTAGGTGACCGGGGATTTTTACAGCGCCATTCGTATTTCCTTTGGTGAACTGTGTTTTTTATAACGCGGTCCGCATTGCACTTGGGGAACGGTGCTCTTTACAGCGCCGTCGGTATAGCATAAGGTGAACTGCTGCTTTTAACTGCGCTGTCCCTATGTCCTCTGGTGACCAGGGATTTATTTTTACAGTGAGGTCAGTATTTTCCTTGAGGACCGGACCGGGCATTCTAAAACACCGTCTGCGTTGCCTTCGGTGCTCAGAGCTTTTGGCAGTGCCATCTGCGTTTTGTTTGGTGGCCTGTGGTTTTTACACCAGTGTCTGTCTTGCCTTTGGTGACCCGTCTTTTTACAGTGTCGTTGGTATAGCATTTGGGGACCGCTGCTTTTAACTGTGCCGTCTCTAAGCCCTTTGGTGACCGGGGATTTTTAAAGCTCCGTCCATATATCCTTAGGTGACCGGGAATTTTTACGGCGCCATTCCATTTCTTTTGGCGATTGGTGGTGTTTATAGTGCGGTCCGTATCGCAGTGGGTGAAGGGTTCTTTTCCTATCGCCGCCGTCGATTATTTCTCCAGTTTCTCTCCAGCAATGTCTCGTTCTGAGGGCAGCCCTGGAGTCCGTGCCCGGGCTCCGATTTCAGGGAGAAACGTGGGTTGGTCCTCTCCCTGCAGCCTCCGTGGTCTCTCTCCGCACCACACGTTCCTCCTCCGTGGTCGGCGCTACTGGCTGTCCCTCCGCGTCCTGTCCTAACGACCGCTCCTTGTTCTGTCCCCATTGTTCCGTATTTCTTTCGGTTCTACACATCAACTTGAGTTTGTTAGCTGTGGGTAAGTCCGTTTTAAAAAACACGGGTTTCTTTCCTTTTTTTTTTTTTTTTTTTTGCAGTCCGCCTTGCATCCGCTCACCAGCCAGGAGAGCATAAATATCGAGGCTGCGGACAACGCCGCAGGCTTCGTCTCCTGCATCAGCTCAGACGCTGGTTGTCCTCGTGGTCCGAAGTCTCGGCCGAGATGGAGCAGCACTTTCTCGACGTCGGGAAGTCGGCTTGGGACGCCGCTGACGGGGCGCCGCAGCCCCAGCCTCCGTGCTTGCCGGTCTCCGAAGACCGGGGGCCGTGGCCGCTGCCCTTCTACCCGGTACTGGGAGAGTCCGCGGGCCACTACGACGCTTACCAGGGGCGACTGCTCTTCAGTCCTTGTTGGCAGCTGCCCTCGGTCTACGGCACGTACAAGGACTTGACCGCGGCCCAGAGCT